CTTAATATCATTTCTTCAAATTCAATGCATGCAGTTAAGGATTTGTGATAGTAGTTACCTACTTAAATTATTATAATGTTGCCTTACTGCCCTACAACTAATGGCACTTACATGACCAACCTACAAAGAAATACCTAAAGTGACGCAATCTTTAGAAATGTATCTGTTTGCCTTTGGGAGGATGTGATCAATAGAGGTCCAAGGCCAACAGAGGCATTCAAAAACCGTGACGTAAACGGTTTCGAATAGAACATTTTCCCCTAAAAATCGTTGAAACTTTTTCACAAGTTAAAAAGCGACAGCGGCCTACTCTATTCAGTTTCTCTTATAAATTAATTCTCTATAATACGGTCTGTCTGGCTCTTGCACGCCCAATTGAAACAACGCGTGGGAAACGGGCGCGGATTAAGTCGGTCGAACGAACATTTGCATAATGGAAAAGGGTAAAAATGATTTCGGTGAATACTGAAAAATGAAAGCTTGAAACTCATATCACGTTTCGTTCAACCGCACGGATTCCATTCGTAAGTATATCATAAAATATAAAGTGATAAGAGTATGTGCTTGTAGCACTTTGAAGTAGGTACCATTTAAGAATTTATACTGATTTTCCTGAAACACGACGCCTTGTGTTAACGTAATTAAAGCGGTTTTATTTGCGAAATTATAACCGAGTAGTAAGATTTCATTAAGAAAGGGGAGCGCCATAAGAATTCCCTCGGCAGCCTTTTCGTTGTTACAGTAATTAGCCGGAAAAAATCGTTGCTATTGTAAGTTAATTAAGCTGGAAAGCTTCTCCGCAGAGATGCATTTTTTCTTGGAAAACGCGTAGGTTACCAGTTGTCCTTTAATCACCCTGTTTCTGAGCATTATAAAAAATGTTATCTCTAATCGATGGTTAAACACGCTATTTAAACGGGTAAAAAACGTTTTCTGTTATTAATGTTATTATGCAAATAAAACAACACCTTTTTGAAAAACGGATTACCATATTGTTAATTGGTCTATGGTATTACCTATGCAATACATTCATACATGTAGTAAAAAGTAAACGGATCGGTTACCTACGCTATAAATATAGCAAAACGCAGATGTTCGGAATCTACTAGGTGTAACAGTAACAATGCTGGGAACAAAGCGTTATTAGACTAAAGAAAACAAAATCAGTAAATATAGCTTCCCTTGTTGTAGCTGTTGTGGAAGATATTAATTCTACACGATTAGGTATATAAGGTTGCATTGAAAAGCGCCTCCGCTAAATCTAAACAGTTTCATTCAAACAAACGTTTATCGAATAACTGGATATACGAATTGCACTCCACTTATTAAACAAATTTATGAACGTAATTTAAATTCCTACAGATAATTACTTTCACCATTTGATAACTGCGTTGTAAATATTTAATTTTGCCCGTTTACTCTAAAGCTTACCTTCCCTTAAATTAAAGGCGGGTTAATCAACACAGCTGAAAATATTAAGTTCTCCAAAATTTACCGCTCTGTAAACGTATAAGATTGGTGGATAGAGATACACGTGAACAAACGGAAAATATGTGATATATTGTGATAATGGGGAAGGAAGAAGATTTACACAGTAGAAGAAATGATTCCAGTTCGTGCGTGTTATTCAAACCGAACCGAAACCGTTATTCCTTCAGAAATGGTAACTTATTGAGAACCGGAATCCTTATTATTTGTTTAGGTTTTGAGGTTCTTAACAGGTTATTGGAAGTTGAAGGACGCGCCTACACTCACACAACGTCACGTTTTCTTTTTTTCACACGTACTAATTAACAAATCACGTTGTTATAATAAAAGACTAGAACCGAAAAGAACCGTTATTGACCGAAAAAAATGCACAGAACCAAACCGTTATTTTTTTAGAACCAAAACCGGACCGGAACCGTTATTAATATTTTAGAACCAGAACCGATATTTCATTTGGGTACGGGTCCCTGCTTCAAACAGAGAAGTTTAGGAATTTACATTGCAAGTAACGTGTTTCACAATAATTGCAATAGAGGGTGGTGTTTTTAAGTGGACCATTAGAAGTATTTCAGGAACTGTTTGGAATTTCGATTCGAGGCTCATTACCTTTTTTGAATAGTCGATCAAAAGGGATCAAAATGGCCGCTTTTCCGGTTGTATCAGAACGGTACCGGAACTTTCTTATTTCAAATGGCACTATCCTTTTTGATGGCATTTTCGAATTCCTTATAAAAAATCAGTATGATTTTGTGAAATGATGCTATGTCTAACTGGCTTGGTTTCGAAGTTTTTTGACATTTTTCACAGTTTCAGAGGTTCTTAAATTAGCCATATCACTGTTGTCTGACAACTCAGCAAAAGGTTTTTTTCACGAATGGACAGCTAAAAGTCTACGCTATCAAATGTTATTGGTCTGATTTTCAAATGTGATTCGAAAATAATACGAATAAGCGGTCAAAGTTGACAATCGGTTTTTGCTCAAAAACTCGAAATTTTCAAATGGAAACCATATCTTTACTATGCATCAATGGAAAGAGCTTAAAAAACGGATAAGAAATTTTTCTAAAAAAAACTAAAAAAAACTGTCCACTTTAGAAAAATTGTGCAAGTACTTTTTTATCCGTTTTTTATGCTCTTTCCATTGATGCATAGTAAAGATATGGTTTCCATTAGAAAATTTCAAGTTTTTGACCAAAAACCGATTGTCAACTTTGAACGATTATTTGTATTATTTTTGAATCACATTTGAAAATCAGACCCATAACATTTAATAGCGTGGATTTTTAGCTGTCCATTCGTGAAAAAACCATTTTGCTAAGTTGTCAGACACCAGCGATATGACTAATTAATTACTGAACCTATAAAACTGTGTAAAAATGTCAAAATGTTGAATAACTTCGAAACCATGTCAGATAGACATAGCATTATTTGACAAAATACTGATTTTTTATGAGTAATTTAAAAATGGCATCATAAAAGATAGTGAAAAAATAAAAATAAAATTTTAGAACTTCAGACAATTCTATCGAGAGTAGTAGTAGGGGAGCTAGCACGAAATCCACTGAACGAGAATGATCAAAATTTTAACCGATGGAGGTCCATTTTGCCCTATCAGAGTATGCTAAAATCGATCGTCTGCCGCGTCAGGTCATATGACTTAAGGCACTGCGGGTCCTTCTTGCGGTACCAATTCTGAAAGGTTGCTTTTCGAGAAAATAAGTTATACACCAAATGAAAACGTTGATAATGGCTCTTAAAAAAATATTTAAAAAAATCGCGCACATTTGATAACTCCGTAAAAAAACAATTCTTAGTCGGTTTTTCATGAACTTTCTAGGGATATAACTAGGTTACCGTTGGATGAATGAAGCTGATTTTTTTTACAGACTTACCCGCAGCGCCTTAAGTCATATGACCTGAGGCGGCAGACGATCGATTTTAGCATACTCTGATAGGGCAAAATGGAACTCCATCGGTTAAAATTTTGATCATTCTCGTTCAGTGGATTTAGTGCTAGCTCCCCTACTATAGTATGTACTGGCAGTTTAACGCATCAGTGCTCAAAGTCCTAGATTGGTGTACTAGTTTACCAATGTGTCAAAATGTGGCACTTGTACAAAGTACTTTTGTTTCGTTTTGTGAGAAGCGCAATTCAAAAACTATATACATTTTTGAATCTGAATGAATATCAAGAACTTTTCATACTTAGGGCGCATGAAGATTAAAACTTTTCATTATAGTTTATATAGTTTGAGTCGATATTTTGTTATTTGGAATTAATTCGGGTCATTAAATGATTAAAAAATTCGATTATCGATTAAAACACCTACCAAGGTATCTTAAAGCGATTTGTCCTTAAAAGGAGCGTGTTCTTTGGAAAGTTATTTTTCAACCTAAAGATTATGAAAATTTTTGATCATAGTGAAAAAGTATCAATACGGAAAGTGATTTGACTTTTTCCCCTACCTTATTTAGATAATAAATAATCGATCAGCGCTTTAAGATACCTTGGTAGTGTTTTATCGATACATCGAATTTTTTAATCATTTAATGACCGAATTAATTCCAAATAACAAAATATCGACTCAAAACCGTTAATCTTTGTTTTTTGCGACATTGTCAACCAACACATGCCGAAATTATGGCTTACTAGTAGGCTTGGGACACTTCGCGACCCGAAGGACCAACATTCAAATGAGTATAACTTTTGTTTGAAAAGTTATTTTAAAAAACTGTTCGACAGTTTGTTCCTTAACTCGTTTAGTATGTATACACAACAAATTTCGTGGAATTATCTCTATTTTCGTTTTGTCCGCCAAGAATTGCAGTGGAATCTTTTTTTTTCGAATTTTTCAAAAACTAATTTCAGATTCGTGATTTTCATGTTAAAAAACCCCCAGATACCAAATTTCGTCGAAATCAGAATTTTTTTTTGCACCCTAGTTTAGGGGTGCGCCCTTTAGGGGTAGGAATTTTGAAAAAAAAATTGCAAAATCGGAAAGAGCATACCCAAAAACCTATTCAAAGACATGCCACCCGACTTTGTAACTCTTATGGTTGCTGAGAAAAAAATTAAAGAAGAAATGCAGATTTCAACACTCTTTGGGGGGTGGCTCCCAAACGAAACACGTTGGACCCTCGGTTTATTTGGAAAAAGTGCTTGTTTTGATGCCCTCTACAACCCGATTTTTTTTTTTTCGAACGGTCGTGTAACACCCTGTATACCTACTAGTCGACTATTTCAGGTCTTTAAAATGAGCGACATTTACAGTTTGAACCTAGCGAATGAATTTCATTTTGTCCTGATTAATAGCATAGAGTAATGTATTTCCTCTATGTTAATAGCGAATGTTTTGCTATTTTATTTTTTTACGGAGATAGGTATTTTTCTGAAGGTTTACCTACTCTCTTACAGCCGACCTGTACTGCTTTCATAAAATATTACGTCCGACGGAGGGTATCGAAAAACATCTACCTACTCGGCGATTTTAATAACCCAAGATTATACTTACCCTGTGTAGTTGTGCGAAATTAGGAAAAATCTGCGTCGCAAAAAGAGAATTTCCAACTGAAACAAGAAACTGGAGTTAGTAGGTATTTAAGTAATAATTGGTAAAGCACAGCAAGGGCTTCCTCTCAGTATGATACAAACAGAATTTGTAATCATGAATTAAATGTATCTTCGCTATTAGGAAAGGCATCAACCCGAAACGAATACTACTACAGAATTAATTGGCTTATAAACCTACTACGAAACGTGTACTATAAGACGGGTTAAACCCCAAGATATCGCGATCTATATATAAATGGGAGATATCGCTAATGGATTTTTCATTTTTTATGACTCATTTCAAATGAAAACCAACTTTAACCTATTTAATAATTTGTTTACTATGATGTTCCACCATTACTTATATCTTATTATTATTACTGTGGTATACCAAAAGTAGCTAATTCACGCTACCGCAGCTGAAATAATTGAAAATGCACGGTCTCAAATGCTGCAAAGTCGCAATTCGTCGCCGTTACTTCAATAAGTTGTATGTCAATAATGGCAAGTTGTGGGAAATCGAAAAAAACTGTTTCGATTTTTTGTGGTTAAACTATGATGTACTGTAGTTGTGACATAAAAATAATCAGTTCCTATGACATTTTAAAATGACTTTGTTCTTGAATGCTAAATTCAATTAAGTAAAGAATTCGATTGATATACGATGTTTTGTTTATTTTACTTGGTTACACAACGCTGGCATAGGACTATTTTGTATTGATAACTGGGTTAGTTATAAATAAAAAATCATTGTTAATTCATAATCCTTTACTCATAAGTAATATATTATAGACAGACATGTTATTTGTGACGCAAATTTTCGTAAAAAAATTGACAATCTCGTGGAAGATGTCTCTTTAATTCTTGCAGGTGCTCAAATTTTGATGCCTCGATTGGACATGGCCCATCGTAAAGGGGAACTCTTGCGAAACTGCCGTTTGGTACACGTCTTTGCCGATGAGGTATTTCTTTCCAATCTTCAGAAAATTTCAATTTATAGTTAATAGTTCCGTCTGCTGTATACTGTAGGGCACAAATGTCTACTACCATAGGATCTCCCGTTTTTCTTCCAGGTCTGATACTTGAATAAAATGTAGATTCAAAATGAAAGAAATCTGTATGTTCGAGAGATACAGTGATGTAAGGTGACGGTGTTTGCCGTGTTCCTTCTATAACACGTAAGTAATCACTTGGTAAGTTTATTTCCTTTCTACGACCTAACCTTCTTTCGATTGTGCTGTGAACGGAATCTACTTCCATTTGAGTGTGTCCGGACTCAAGGTACTTTTGCTCTATTGTGACAGCCCACTCCTTAGCAATGTTCACAATGGCATTAGATAACTTTGTGTTTCGATTTTGATAGCAGCAGCCATCGCTCCAAATTACAATTTTGGATGGACTGTTTTTCTCAATTTCTGCGTTGAGAAATTTCGTTGCGATGGACGCAAACACGTCACTCTCTAAACCAGCTTGCCATATAAAACAAGTAACTGTTTTATCTTTCAAACTGTAAAAGTTCCAATTGTGGACCTTCAATTTAGTTTTAAAATAGTTTGTAGACACATTTAAGCGAGGTGCTAGCAAAACTGCTTGTAGATCTACTACGTAAGCAAACACTTTTTCGTCCATATTACATTCATTTTTATCTCTCTCTTTTTCTTCTCTTGCCTCATTCTCTCTTATCAAATGCATGTGGTAGTTGTTTTCTGGTATTGAACCACTTTTGTACAGAGAACAAGTATTGCATTGATCTTTCTTGGGACTCCATATGTCCAAATTTAATTTTTTAAAAACTTTCCAAAATGTAGCCCAGCAAGCCACCGTCTTGTGTTCTTCTTGACATTTTTGTTGATATACTCGGTGTACATGTCTGTAACTATCCCATATTGGCTCCAAGTATAGTTTTGTGGACGACGCTCTGCAATAATGGGATTCCACTTTAGGTAATCCAGTAAGAAAGTCTTCAACTCCCTTTGTAAAAGGACTTTCATTTCTTTGAACCACTTCACCAGAATTTCCTTCGTTTTCTTTCTTGTTCTCAGACTTGTTTCCCAAAATCCAATTTTGGACAGTCTTTTCTCCAATATTCAAAGTACCCAGAAACATTTTTTTACAGACAACCACCTTTGGTTTTGTTTCTTTGCGAGTTTCTTCTTCTTCGTCATTCACAGTTAAATAATACCTAAAGCTTCTCATTTTCTTATCGCTTAAGGTATCTTTTCGTCTATACTTTGGCGTCACTGGTAAAACGTGACCCATAACAAAGGATTTTTTAGCTTCCCATGAACTTAAGGCCCAAAATGAAGTAAATACATGTTCCATTTGACTATTAGATACGTCTGAACATTTAAATCCTTGGCGTGGTCCACCTTTTCCAGATTTGGCTTGGTGGCCAGAGCATGTTGGTCCTAATTTGCGTTCTGATTTGACTGCTGTTTGGCGATACTTGCCATTGATGTCCTTCTCGAAGCCGGTGTAAGATTTTCCGTGTACTCGCAATTTAGCGTTTTTAATCCGCTTCCATAATTTTGGATCAGCTTGTCCTTTAGATTTTCTTTTGCTGCCCTTGCGACCATCAACTTCTGTCTCTACAACGTCATGTACTTCATTATCTACGTCAATTAGGTTCTCTTTATTTGTATGACTTTCAGTTTCTGACGGCACGTATTCCGAACCAGAATCTTCAAGCCACGATTCAGAAGGAGATAAATTCTCATTGTTATTATCATAAAAATCTCTGCTTGATTCATCAGGTAATTCTTTCGTAGTGAGATTAAGAGATGGTAATTGCACCGATTCAGTTGATTTAGCAGGCGGCAGATCTTTATTATTTAATTCACCAGAAGACTCATTTAATGTATCTAAATTATTTTCGCGTAAATTAGACTGAACTGCATTCGATCGCAAAGCAAGTTGCAAAATTCGATTGCCTCTGCTTTTACTACCACCTGCTGACATATTGATTATTTAGTGTTATTCTTAATCCAACTGAAACAAAGATAAACAAAAATAAAATGCAATTCGTCATGTCAACTTTGTTACAATTTGATAGCTGCAATATATCATATGTCAAACTCGAAATTGTTGAGCAAAGATTAGATAATTAAATATCGATCAATGGTAATAGAAACTATCAATAACATTGGGATATTTACTTGTAATTTACTTTTTAATGAAGTTTTCATGCATTCTGTTAATATAACTTCAAAACCATTCATGAATTTTAGGTTAGATTTACTAAATCAATCTTATAATTACCAGTTTTATTCCTAATTGCATTTAGTTAGGTTACACTTAAAAAAATAGTTTGTTTCAAAACAGTTCACACGATAATTGCTTGTAAAATGTTACAAACATCAGCAAAAACAACGCTGCACTAGCTCGTGAACACAAAAAGTTGACATACGACTATTTGTATGAACCAAAACGATCTAGAAGGTGACAAAAGAGGTTTTCACAAGAGCGCAGTATCCCTTTCTCGCTAACGATAGACATGAGAGGTTTTGCTATAATGTGAAAGTTGCTATTTTGGTTGCAACAGCGTTGATAACTCTAAATGCTCATTTTTTGACATGCGACCTATTGCAGTAACAGCGACGAATTACAATTCAATCATTACGGTTCGCACAGTGCTTCCAGCTTTCTGCGTATTTTCTCCTCTCAAAAGAAAACCGCTAAAACACGATTGAATTGGATCTGAAAGTTACTTGAATTTTATTGCCGCTTTATTGCTGGCGGCGGAGGAATTTTTTATTTTGCAGCTTACAAAATTTCAGTCAAAAGACATGCACTTGCTTATAAAATTCTAAATTATTAATTCTCAATTTTCGCCATAAATTGAATGCTCCTACACAGGCAGGACTTTAATCCTGCATTTCTGGTCAAATGCGCTAAATGGAGAATTGACTAGCTTTGCGCCACCCACATTTTGGCGTAGTATTTATGTGGCTTTTACCGCAACGAAACGATACCGCTAAATTAAACTTTGTAATGTACTTAAATAGTAGTTCCATTTACGCAGGAAATTAATAAAAACGTACATTAAGAGCAAAACTAATAGTCTAAGAGCCAGCGACACACAACCCTACGTCATCGCGGAATTCAACAAAAATATTATTAATAAGTAGGTTTGTAAGAGGAAAAAACAAAACCGCCATGTCTGCCAGGCATATCCTGTGCTTATTGTTGCTAATTAATTAATTAAGTGTACATAAAAAATAGGTTACTTACGTCATGACGGAATTGGAAAAAAAAATATATGGGATTATTGCTGGCAACGAGCACATCACGTAAACATAATGTGTGCCAGCCGATACCCCGTGCTGAATACATGTCTGCCGGGCGCGAAAGGGGTATAAAAAACAGTCGCGCTTACGTCATCACGGAATTTAGCGAAATTTTTTTAAAATGTAGATAATGTCTTCCCTGACAATACTATATGTCTGCCGGGCAAATTCCTGTGCCAAAGTAATGTCTGCCACTTTTTATGACGCGACTTTTGGTCACGAATCATGTCATTTGATGTTAATAAGTATGCGGTTTTCATTGCTTTTTCGAGTGAATTTCTACATTGACTAGTAAGGGAGATGGGTGTACGAGGATGGTGTCAGTTTGTTTTTATTTGTTTTCAGGATAGGTATTATAAGGGCTTCTTTCCATTCTTCTGGGTAGTTGTGTTGTTCTAGTATGGTATTGTATTGGTATTTTCCCTGTTGGTGGAAGATGTTTAATCATTTCGACGTTGGTCCCGAATCAGGATTATTTGATTAACAAATTACCTATTGCTTAATTTAATACCGACATTCAACTTTTTCAAATGAATCAAATTGGAGTTTACTGCTTCGTTTCCTTATCAATATCGTAATACATATTTCACGGCTCTTTGAATGAATTCAATAGTCAGATTAGATCGTAATTTCTATGTATAAGTCTGTCTAAAGTAAACGCGAAGTAATAGGTAAATTATAATTTGGTGAAATAGACAGTGGCTGGGGAAATATTCTTATACGATAAACCAAAAGTAAATATATGCAATCTGTACATACCGCCCCACACAACCACAAGCTGCAATGAAATTGAAAATCTCCTACGCATCCTTGCCACCGATGCCAACGCACATAATACCATGTGGGGCGGGAAATTGATTAATGCCAGAGGCAAAATATTTGAGAAATTACTGCTCCGCCACCCAGAAATGGTACTCCTAAACGACCACTCTCCCGCCCATTTTTCATCAGGCACCGGATCCTTTTCTTCTATAGACATAACCATAGCAAGCTGTACATAGCTTCGAGACTACAATGGTTTACCCATGGCGACCTGTGTAATAGCGACCATTACCAAATTTTAATACAAATACCAACCAAACAACAAAACACCTATAAGACAAACAATCTAAGATGGAGAATCGCCACAGCAGACTGGCAAAGATATAAAAGTTCTATCGTCCAGCAAATCACAACGCAAATCTCTCCCAAAAATGAATCTAGAAACCCTATATAAAATCATCAATGAGACATCGCGGCAATCGATAGCCAAAAAAAACCTATCCAAGTAAAAAAATCCACCTTGGTGGAACAAGAGGTCGAATCCTACCTACAAACACGAAAAAAAGCACTAAAAACCTTTCGAGAGTACAAGAGCCTGGAAAACCTCATACAATATAAAAGAATTAAAGCCCAAACTAGACTACTAATAAAAACAAGAAAAAAAGAAACATGGAAACTCTTCGTATTATCTATAAATAGCAACACGCCTACCAAAACCCTATGGGATAATATCAGGAAACTACGTGGTCACCGACCAAGTAACACAATTGCTGCCCTAGAAATAAACAACGACATTACCATAGACCCGAATGAAGTAGTCAATGAATTAGCTCAATATTACGAAAGAGTATCTAGCAACAAACAACACAGCGACAAGTTTAAGTTTTAACACATATAAACAAGAAACCGAAAAACTAGTAAACTTTGATTCACAAAATCTAGAACCATATAACACCCAAATAACAATGGTAGAGGTAGAGAGAGCAATTAATAACACCCGCTGCTCGACCCCTGCCGCCGATAATATACACGTCAAAATGATTAAACATTTTCCACCAACAGGGAAAAACCTTCTCTTGAAAATATACCATACCATACTAGAACAACACAACTATCCAGAAGAATGGAAAGAAACCCTTATAATACCTATCCTGAAAACAAATAAAAACAAACTGACACCATCCTCGTACAGACCCTTACCTAGTCAATGTAGAAATTCACTCGAAAAAGCAATGAAAACCGCATTTTTATTAACATCAAATGACATGATTCGGGACCAAAAGTCGCTTCATAAAAAGTGGCAGACATTACTTTGGCACAGAAATTTGCCCGGCAGACATTATGCAGTATTGTCAGGGCAGACATTATCTACATTTTAAAAAAAATTTCGCTAAATTCCGTGATGACGTAAGCGCGACTGTTTTTCATACCCCTTTCGCGCCCGGCCGACATGTATTCAGCACGGGGAATCGGCTGGCACACATATGTTTACGTGATGTGCTCTTTGCCAGCAATAATCCCATATATTTTTTTTCCAATTCCGTCATGACGTAAGTAACCTATTTTTTATGTACACTTAATTAATTAATTAGCAACAATAAGCACAGGATATGCCTGGCAGACATGGCGGTTTTGTTTTTTCCTCTTTCAAACCTACTTATTAATAATATTTTCGTTGAATTCCGCGATGACGTAGGGTTCAGTGTCGCTGGCTCTTGTACTACTAGCGAATGAATTTCATTTTGTCCTGATTAATAGCATAGAGTAATGTATTTCCTCTATGTTAATAACCAATGTTTTGCTATTTTATTTTTTTACGGAGATACGTATTTTTCTGAAGGATTACCTACTCCCTTACAGCCGACCTGTATAGCTTTCATAAAATATTACTTCCGACGGAGGGTATCAAAAAACATCTACTCGGCGATTTTAATAACCCAAGATTATACTTACCCTGTGTAGTTGTGCGAAATTAGGAAAAATCTGCGTCGCAAAAAGAGAATTTTCAACTGAAACAAGAAATTGAAGTTAGTATTTAAGTAATAATTGGTAAAGCACAGCAAGGGCCTACCCCTTTAATGTTCTTCCTCTCGGTATGATGCAAGCAGAATTTGTAACCATGAATTAAACGTATCTTCGTTATTAGGAAAGGCATCAACCCGAAACGTATACTACTACAGAATTATAATTGACTTATAAACCTACTATGAAACGTGTACTATAAGACGTGTTAAACCCAAAGATATCGCGATCTATATATAAATGGGAGATATCGCTAATGGATTTTTCATTTTTTATGGCTCATTTCAAATGAAAATCAACCTTAACCTATGTAATAATTTGTTTACTATGATGTTCCACCATTACTTATATCTTATTATTATTACGGTGGTATACCAAAAGTAGCTAATCCACGCTACCGCAGCTGAAATAATTGAAAATGCACGGTCTCAAATGCTGCAAAGTCGCAATTACAAATCAATCATTACGGTTCGCACAGTGCTTCCAGCTTTCTGCGTATTTTCTCCTCTCAAAAGAAAACCGCTAAAACACGATTGAATTGGATCTGAAAGTTACTTGAATTTTATTGCCGCTTTATTGCTGGCGGCGGAGGAATTTTTTATTTTGGAGCTTACAAAATTTCAGTCAACAGTCAAAAGCTTTATAAACGACATTATGCACTTGAAACATGCACTTGCATATAAAATTCTAAATTATTAATACTTCTCAATAAATTGAATGCTCCTACACAGGCAGGACTTAATCCTGCTTTTCTGGTCAAATGCGCTAAATGGAGAATTGCCTAGCTTTGCGCCACCCACATTTTGGCGTAGTATTTATGTGGCTTTTACCGCAACGAAACAATACCGCTAAATTAAACTTTGTAATGTACTTTTTGTACTCATTGAATGGAAAGATAATGTTTCCAAGCATCCTCGATGCACGGGAAAACGACTTTCCCGCATCGCGGTGTTTTTTAGTTTCCGCTGGAGAGAAGGGGTTATGCGCGTTCTTCGGTTGGTAGTACTTATTGAAGTCAACGAACGTCATGTCATGGTTAACTGTCATCTGCTGTAAAATCAATTAAACCGTTGGTTGAGGGTATTTAGTGCGATTAATCGGAAACAGACGTACACTAAGTTTTACGTAAATATATAAACAAGAACTTATAACGCAATCAAATTATTTTTCAGAATTGGAACTCAAGAAAAAGTAAAATTTATTGTTAAAACGTCTTAAAATGTGACCAGTGATATTCTGCAACTATTCGCATATGCAGTTTAAGAAAGCACATATTAACACACACAAAGCTTCCAAGGATTTTAAATGTAACGAGTGTATTTACGCAACTCAAGATATTCAGTGCAAACGATGCAATGCCGTGACCAGTAGTAGCACTCATTGCAAAGGCAAAATATGTAACGGGCGATCAAAAATGAGTTGCTGTTGAGTCGCCTTTGGAAGTTCAAGTTAAGTACGATTTCCCATGTAAACAAAAATTCCAAAGGTGACTCGACAGCAACTCATTTTTGATCGCATTGTATTAACCAAAGATGTGGAAGTTTTAAATGTGACCAGTGCATTATTAAAAGTGTAAGTGGGTAGTTACAAAATTATGTTACCAACCAAACATATGATTGTGTTACCAACTCATGATTAAAAAAAAACTAATTTACAAAACTATTAATTTTGACCTTTTTTACGCAATTCGTTACAAAAAATATTGTACCTAACTCTTTCGGAAAGAATTTTCCCGCATTCGCACTAAATGCAGCACTCCCTACGGTCGTGCTGCAAACAAAGTGCTCATGCGGGAAAATTAACTTACCGAACTTGTTAGGTAAATAACTATAAATAGTAGTTCCATTTACGCAGGAAATTAATAAAAACGTACATTAGGAGCAAAACTAATGTATAATGAATAAGGTAATTTTAGTTCTCATTTAGTTACATGATCAAAACAGAAATTAGCATCTAAGGCTGATGAGTATTTTTTTGGCTTATTTTCATTATTAAGTCTACGTAATTTTATTGTAAGCGCTACAGGCATGGATGCCGGCCGCCTTGTGCCCGATGTACGCCCTGCGAGATACGAAGCTTCCAACGTGGTCGGTTCCATTAGCCTATCCCAATTAATAACAATGGAGCTAGCAGTGCTTAACTGCCTACGAAAACTTACATTTCACAGGCACAGCATTCTGCACCTCTAATTCTAACTAATAATCAACATACTCTAACACTTCAGACAAGAAGGTCCTTCAGTAATTAGTACTAATAACTTTCATACACAATTCATGCGCAAACATTTCTAAGGAAAGGTACGCCTGTACCATTTTATTAGAAATCCAAGCAAAGGTGCTCACCTTAAGTAATGTAGATTAATACAGTAAACAACTGCACGTGGTGATTAAACTTACCCTAAGTCCGCTTTCCGTTTGTCACTTTTATTGGTATTTCTAGGTAAATTATTGCCTATTAGAATGTGAAGAAAGTACGTGTTCTACAAAGGCTGTTATTTAAATAAATGGCTACATTTTGGAAAAAAAATGATATCTTACACTTATACATACTCATGTTAAACCATTCGTGTGACTGCGAAAATTGAACAAACAACTTTAAATTAATAGCACAGTAGAAAATATAATTAAATATAAATATTAATTTGACAAGTAGTTTTTCCGGCCTTCGTTGGGATAGAGCTGAAAGTTGGTAAATACGAAGAATCGCATACGATTTTCAGTAGGGAATTTTTTGACACTCAGCTCGCATTCAAAAACCATACTTTTAATCCGGCTCATATACAATAGCGCTGATCCTTGAACGCGTAGAAATCGATTGGCCAAGGTTTGACATCGTTGTCCCTTTTCGTTCTCGAGTTAGCCGAGAAACAGACAGACAGAAAAAACCTTGCTACACCAGTGACCTATATGAAATGAGACATCGATAATATTTCTAGGACTTTCTTGAGCCAAGACACAGCCTCCACACTGACGAAGGGACAGAAAAAATGCCCGTAATGGCGCATATGGCTTAAGCGTGACAGAGTTAGGTTTATTTTAAGTCGGGCAATTAAGCGCCTGTATCAGGTGGCATAGATACGAGCGACAAAATACGTAGTGGGGAGGGGGCTACGTATAGTTGGCCCCTTCCAAATGTATTTTCGGAATTGTAAAGAATAATGGCGTAAGAGTTATAATGGTGGGTGCACGTCAGTGCATTACTTTATAATAAAATGACTATCGCATCTCTAAGTGGGGGGAGGCGGGGCAAGTTAAGGATCTAAGGTATACACGGTGGCTATAGAATTAATAAGGTTAACAAAATTTTCTGATATCAATTTGGTTTGGTTTAATGCATTTGTGGCTCCGACTTGATTTATTGGGTTAATCGGTTGTTTTAGAAGAGATTAATGTAATTGTCTAGAGGTGAGGTGGTTTTTTTAATCCTAAAGAAATCGTTTATTTTTGTAGAGAATGTTATATTTAAGATAAGATAATTTCGGAAAAATGGGTTACGTGAGGAAAACCAAGCGTTTTGTCGCAAGCTGTTGATTGGTTGATCGAGTTACCAATTACGATTTCGTGTTTTAATTTCAAACATTAATGAATCGATATATGAGATAATGCCAAGTATCGTTTGGTTCCAGTTTTATTTCATTTTATTTCATTTTCTCTTATAGCATTTTTCTTTATTCCCACTGTTAGGTGGAAGATCAGCAAGTGGAGCTGTCTCCCAATGCCGAACTTCGCCACTAGGTTTTTTTACTTTAATTAAAATTTTATTTTACATTTATATCTTATTTTAATTTATATATTTACGCAAGGTAATGAAATAAAGGCATTTATTATTATTATGTGTGGTCGTTGAATAAACTTTATTATTGCAATATCATGCAAGTCGTGTGTTCGTCGAATCCCTTTAACGACGACGAGAGATGTCCCACGTTTAATTAAGTTTAACTTTGTTTATCCACACCCAAAGTTCAGTTCAAGTGCTTTCAAATTTTGGTAAATCATCTTTTTAGAATTTCAGAAGTTTGATTTTGAAGAAGTGTTATCTTTGGCCTGAAGTTAAAGAGTCACAGCATTTTTTATTGCTCGCCCAACGTGGGCACTGCATCCATTTTTTGTGTATGGTCCTTTTTAGCCGGGCCAATTCACACAGCCATATTTATATTTTTATCGATGAGTTTGCGTTTTCATATGTAGTATATCTTCTATATGAAAGTAAAACTTTACCAGTTTAGCCAATGCTTTAGAACACGTACTATCCTCTCAAAAGAAAGACATTAATAACCCCTACACATTTGGACGTACTATGCGCGGACAGAACAAGTCAAAATTTTATTCCAAAAAACAAAAAAGTTTCGCTGGAAAAAGTTAACCCCCGGTCCCGTCACCCGCCCACCTACACACTGTTGGAGTCTGCTGTGGAGCTGCCTCTTAAAATTATGGCGCTAGCTGCCGTTAGGTCTGACAAAACTGTCTCTTGCTGAGACAATGATTATACTAGCGTTAAAATTGTTTCACATCAATGAAAAAAATGTCAAACCTTCGCCAATCGATACCTACGAGTTCAAGGATCAGTGCTATTGAATATGAGCCGGATCAAAGGTCTGGTTTTCGAATACGAGCGGAATGGCAAAAATTCCCCTACTGAAAATCGTATTATCTTGTTAATGCTTATTTTTCTTCTTTGACGTGTTTGAAATGGTGGATAACTTTTTTATGTATTTCCATTTATACAATAAACGGTGTCCGTAAGTTACTTATACGCCAAATAGTTGCCTTTTAGAAAAATTGGGGAAAAGTGGATATATAAACATTTTCACAGAGGAAAAAGTCGCACAAGTAGTTTACTTTAAATGATCGAAACCTTGTGACTTGTTAGAAATCTAAAGACACGTACATTTAGGGATTCGTAGGTCCTTTACTTTAGGAAGATAAACATGTACAAGGAATGTTATGTAAGTTATGTGCGAATAAACGTAGTCAATTAAATTACATTTTCATTATCATAACAACTGTTGAGTCAATGTTACGTTTAAAACTCTTATTTATTCTTGTAGTGACCAAGGGTTGTATCCAACATGTAAACATACATATTGATTGCAGCATGAATACACTAAATAAAGTTAAGAGTACACACGAAACGATAGTTGTAGGTATCACAAATAAAACGAAAAGTCCGTATGACAACATTCTTA